GGGCCCCATTGTAGTCTATTGTCTAATGTAATGCCTAAAAATACCGTCTCGTCGACAAATTCTAACTTTTGGCCGTTTAAAACAACATCACAATCATTACTTCGGACGTTTGGTAAACTAAATTTAATACATTTTGTTTTTTTCTCATTAAGCGCTAGATTATTAATGGTGAACCAGTTTTGCACTCGAAGAATGGAGCTGTTTACGTCGTCAAGATTATTAGCACGTCGATCTATTTTAAAAATTAATGAGGTATCATCTGCAAAAAGCACCATTCTTGGTTCATTCTTGAATATAAATGGCAAATCATTTATATAGACTAAAAAGAGAAAGGGACCCAATATTGAACCCTGTGGAACGCCCATATTCATCGTAGAGCCCTGCGAGTTAATACCATTAACATGAACCTTTAATTGCCTATCTTCTAAATAAGACTTTATTAGACAGAGTGCGGTGTTTCTGATCCCGTAGTGATCTAATTTCAGCAAAAGTGTCTCGTGGTCAACGCAATCGAACGCTTTTGAGAGGTCACAAAAGACACCAATAGCATCTTGTGCTTCCTCCCAAGCACCAAATATTTCTTTCATTAAAGTGACACCGGCGTCAGTTGTACAACGACCTTTAGTAAAACCGTATTGTTGTTGGTGAAAGATAGAATGTTTATTAAAATGATGAAGCATTCGAGACAGCATTAACTTTTCAAATACTTTGCTGAGAACCGGCAAAACAGATACTGGCCTATAATTGTTTGGTTCTTTAGTGTCACCACTTTTAAATAATGGGACAACTTTACTATATTTCATTAGGTCAGGGAAAACACCGTCATCTATACTTTTATTGAAAATCACAGCCAAGTATGGCGCTATAGTTTGAATAAGTGATTTGCAAACTTTTACCGATAGTCCCCATAGATCTTCAGTTGATTTGATCTTGATCTCTTTAAAAACTTTTATTATTTCTAGAGGATTCGTATATCGAAAACTAAAGTCGTGCTGACACGATTGTATATGATTCTTAAGCAAAGTTACAGAGAGTGTTGCTGATGACTCTAAATCTTTGGTTGTTTTGATAGGAATGTTGGCAAAAAAATGTTCAAACTCCTGGGCTACATCTACGTTGGATGAAATCTGTCCCCTTTCAGTATTTAAACTTAATTCTGAATTTCTTAATCGTTTCCTACCAGTCTCGTTGTGTATAACTTTCCAAGTAGCTTTTATCTTATCATCAGCTGCTTTTATTTTATTACTAATATAAAGACGTTTCGCGGTTCTGCATACTATTCTAAAGGTTTTTGAATATGATGTTACATACTGATGAAATTGGAGGTTGGTGTTGTATGGTTTCATTCCATAAAGCTCAAAAAGTTTGTTGTTAAATTAATATAATTAGTAATTAAAGTTTTTAAGTAAATTGTAATATTATTAAACTGAATTTTATGAACGACCCAAATTTTTTTTATTTACGATATCTTTTTGATGTGCTTATCCTCCATACTTACCTACCCATAACTAACATGCCATTTAACAATAGGGTAGATGCCTAATTTTTATTTTAATGTCCGTCTGACAGATTATTTTAAATCATTAGATACGTATTTTTTATTTCCTACACGGTGGAACACACAGTGGGGGTATGCCCTGCGTGGGCTGAACACCGCCGTGCCCTAAGGGATGTGATCGGCGACGGCGACCTCTCGCGTCCGGCCTTAGTGCGGGTCATGATGCGGAGCGAGGGGGACTAGGGTGCCGTCTCCTCCGTTTGCGAAGCAGTTATGCTAGTTAAGGAGGAGGCGGGGCGCATAAGGCAGCGAAGCGCTCACAATCCAGCCGTCGTCGCGAAGGACATTCCAGGCGTCGGCGTCGGGGATCGCGAGACGATCTCCGGCCACCGTAAGCGTGGGCCTGCGAACGGCGAGCATGGATGGCTTGCCGCCCGACCAGAACCAAACCCGAGCGTGGCGCATCGCGTTCTGCGTACGCCTTAAAGACCACGGATGGGGCCCAATATTGCTAATGCCGATACGAAGCCGCGGAGAACCTAACGGGCTACCGGGGCTCCGAGTCGAAGTGCAGGAGTAGGAACGAGGTGGTTTTTAGTGGAGTATGACACTCCCTCCTGCCTCACCCAGGCGGGAGCAGTCATTCGATGATTTACCCCCCTTAAAAAAGACCACAATCTACTCAAATTCCCCAAATATGTTCCAAACATCCCTTTAGACGTTATGACGTGAAAGAGTAACAAATATTATTATTGTATTGTATTAAAATAATATTGCAATAATGGTATGTAGCGCCATCTATTGGCTCTTGTTTGTAACTCACTCCTCAAATGATTGGATCGGTTTGTAATAAATGTCAGTCTGTCAAAAGCTACTCACTGGTTTTATTAAATATACACGCACACACACACACATACATCCTCAAGCACACAAACTTTCGCAATTATAATTTAGTAGGATAGGATTTACCGTAGTAGTTATTTCCTACGTGTCCACCATGTCCACCGTGTCCACTCCCATAGCTGGGTCCTCCTGTACCAAAATTGTATGTTTGCCTTTTCAATTTCAAACTTGTTTCATATGCATTGTCGCGGTCCTTGTATAATTCTTCATTATCTGAAAACAAATATTTGTTTTCATTAAATTACTTACCTACATAATGAAACAAACACGAATGCCCGTTTCCACCAACCTAAAAAGAGCCCCTAAACTAAGATGGGTGGCATTTATATTGAGGACAAGAATGCTTGGCAACATGTTGGTCCAGCTCCACTGGGCAATACCTACCCAAACTTAAACACACAATAAACATACAAATACAAAAAGTAGCTCTGCTTAAATTCTAATAATAGATTTTTGTATTATCTTAATTCTAGTAATCAAGTATTTTATGGCATCGAACATTTCTCTTTTAATCTGAATATTTATTTATTTATTTTTTTAAGGTGGGAAAATCATCGAATGACTGCTCCCGCCTGGGTGAGGCAGAAGGGAGTATCAGACTCTTACTGACTAAAAACCACCCCGTTCCTTCTCCTACACGTCGAGCCGGAGCCCCGGTTACCCGTGAGGCTCTCCCCATCTGTGGTAGTCTGATGGTTCTTTGAGGCGCGCGCGGAACGCGACGTGCCGTACGCTCGGGTCTGTTTCTGGTCGGACGGGGAGCCACCCATGCTCGCCGTCCGCAGGCCCGCGCTTACGGTGGCCGGAGATCGTCCCGCGATCCCCGACGCCCGGTGTGTCCTTCGCGATGGCTGGGTTGCGAGGAGGCAGCGCTTCGCTGCCTCACGCGTCCCGCCTCCTCCTTAGCTAGTATGACTGCTTCGCAAAAGGAGGAGACGGCATCCCAATCCCCCTCGCTCCGCATCATGGCCTGCACTAGGCCCGGACGCGAGAGGTCGCCATCGCCGATCACTTCCTTGAGGGCACGGCGGTGCTCAGCCCACGCAGTTCATTCTCCCACTGTGTGTTCCACCGTGTCCTCAGGGCGGATCTGAATAGTTTAAGTTTGTTATTTGGATAAGCATTCAAATTATTAGTGTGCATTATGCAACCACCATGTTTGTAATTTGTAAAAATCGGTTATAGTTAAATTTTTCATGAATTGATTCTATAGTCCCATTAGTTTTGACGTTGTATTGTGGTTGCAATGTTCTCCCATATGTTATACAACAACGGAATAAAATCGGTGAGAATGTAAAAAAAAACATTTAAAAAGCGTAACGGTGGAGTTTCTTGGTCGTTCTTCTCCATACGAACAGCTACAATGACGGACAGTTCATTTCTGACGTTACTAAAGTACCTATAGAGAGATATATTGAAATAAATGCTTTGACTTCGAAACTGTGATTGAAAAAGAAATATCTGGTGTTTTAGAAGTACCTGGTAACTTGAGTGAATTTGCGGAGACGCAGGCGACCAGGAACGAAAATGATATTAGCACTGTGAGCCGCACCATACTGACTTCTAGATGTGTGTGTCGACAACTGGTTACTGTGTCTCGATTCACAATGATCTCCTATAAATAGGAAAATAATAATTTTATAACAAGATTCTAAATTTCTTGAATATTTAAATGTGTTCTAAATAAAAAAATATGATATCAATATATATTTTAGTAAGCGCATAACTTCCGAATGACTGCACCAAATTGGATAGATCTTAACCTTCTTCATTCTTAGAAAAAAATCAAATAACAGCGACCGGCTTAGCATGGTCGGTAATTTTGATTCTTCCACAATACATAAAATACAAGGCAGAACCCGCGTCCGCTCGCTGTCGGATCAGGCAGTGTCCCGGGGTGGGGTTGCGTTGGCGATAAGCCTAGATATCGTAAACGCCTTCAACTCCCTACCCTGGTAGGCAATCAAGGAGGCTCTTGTTATCACAGGATTCCTTCCTATTTGCAGAATATTGTCGGGGCTTATCTGCACGACCGGCACATTCGCTATGTGGGACGGGACCTTTGGGGACACGGGTGCGTAGAGTGGGGGCTCTAGGTGCCCACCCTGTGGTCTCAGGGAAGACGGTGGCACAGTGGTGTGGTCACGTGCCGCCGTACACAGCAAGGCTTAAAGGAGACGCCCGTCTCCCTAGGGATGTGTCGTAACAGGCGTTGCACCGTGGAAGCTCCGGAGAAGGTCTCTTTTAGAGGACCCGGTGCCTCCATTCAGGTGTTGAGGGTGGCCACTGGGGTGGTTTTAGTGAGGTAAAAATCCCACACTCCCTAGTCTTTTATCCCCAAAAAGGCTAGGCGCCTTTTGATGGTTTTCCCCCGTCATCAAAAAAAGGGAACACCGTGGATCACACAGTCGTATACTTAGGTGTGAAACTGTTTGAGGAAGGTCAAGCCTACGTGACTCTTAGTAGAATAAGATCTTTGCAGGGTACGTATCGAGGTTTTGGACTGCAATAAACTAACGGGCAAGAAACCTTGCAATAATAAAGTACTGAATGAATTAAACAGAATGAGATATAAAAACTAGAAAATAAAAATGATAAAAAACTTTTTAAGTTAAACATAAGTACATTGTAATGTTTAAGATAAATAAATGTCCTAAAAGCTAAAAAATAATAAAATAGATACAGTCGTAGGCATTATAAAAAAATGCATAGATTAGACTAAAATAAACCGTGCCGTGGGGCATGTCAATAATTTGTTGAGTTCCTCGTCAAATAATTACGTGAGTAACTCGAAAAACATAATAAGTAATAGGTATGATGTTTATACAAGTGTTCATGATACTACTGAAATTTTGTGCCACACCAAGTTCTATACGAGTAAAATAATACTGATGAAATATCTGTATACCTACATGATAGCTTTGCAGATGTATGTTTGTTTATGTTGTTCTGAAAACACGTTCACTAATTTTTGCCTTGATACCTCGGGCCAAAGCCGCTGGCAATTAAAACTGTATACCATTTTTTTTTTCAAAAGGGGGGAAAATCATCGAATGACTGCTCCCGCCTGGGTGAGGCGGGAGGGAGTGTCAGACTCTTACTGACTAAAAACCACCACCCCGTTCCTTCTCCTGCACGTCGAGCCGGAGCCCCGGTTACCCGTTAGGTTCTCCGCGACTCCGATTCGGCATCGGCCCTATTGGGCCCCATCTGTGGTGGTTTGATGGCTCTTTGAGGCGCGCGCGGAACGCGACGCGCCGTACGCTCGGGTAAAACTGTATACCATACGACTCATTATATTAATAACCAACCCATAATATAATATTAATAACCTGCATCTTTATAATTTAAAAACTTATTTATTAAGGAAAAACATTAACAAAAAAATTAAATGAGAGTGTCTCGTCTGAATCGTCCTGGTGTCCACTGAACTTGACTTGTTTGTCCAGGTCACAAAAGGCCACTGATGTAATTCTGTCAAATGGAAATAAAACAACATTTACAAGTTAATTTATTATTAGGAGATTTTTTCTTGAATAGATTATTCATTTGTCACAAGGAATTTGCATATGGAATTTGAATTTGCTTTAAATGAAAGAAGCTATCCGGGAGCGAAATACCTAATGACATAACAATTTGTAAGTATTATTCTTGATATTTTTTTGCATTTACAGTATATTTTTTGACTGCCTAGTTGGCTGAGTGGTCAAAAGTGCAAGGGGTCTCGGGTTCGATTCCCGGGTCGGGCAAAGTATAATTGGGTTTTTAAAAATATCAGTAGTAGCACGAAGCCTAAATGTGCCCGGTATATGGCAATAGGCTCACCCCATATTACATGGGACTCATAACATAAATAGTGAAAATTAGGTGTTGCATTGTACAGTGGCATTAAGTGCCGTATAATGTGCACCTCTTTTACGCACTCGTTCGTTTACGTTGTGTTTGTTGAATTTTCTCTAAAGATTTGTTATATGGGGTATATTTTATTTTATGCTATCAAAAAGTAGGGATTTTGAGTTGCAAGAAACACACGAATTTAATTTAAAAACTGAATTATTTGCCATGAAATTTTACGACTGTAAGAAAAGATGCTTTTTCATAAACGATTTTTTATCCGATTCGATTGTACGAATATGCAATAAAAATGTAATTTAATTTTAACACTATCCAGAGATAGACATTTCGACAAATACACAGCGCACCAGTTGTTTCTTTAACTTTAAAATGTTTACTAGAGATTTTTCAGCTGACTTATATTAAGTAAATTTTACCACCTAAGTTATCGAGTTCCTAGAAGTACATTAAGAGTATTGTATAAATGTATGGTGGAGTCTGTCATGGATTATGCTCTTGATTGCTATGGGCTTACATTCAACACCTACATGGAAAAATTAGAAAATTTACAAATAAGGTTCCTAAAATTACTGGTTGATAAAAAAACTAAAAATAAATATAAAAATGACTACTATAAATTATTTAAAATCTGTAAAGTATTACCGGTCAGACTTAAACATAAATACATTCTCGCAACCAATAACCACAGCAAGCAGGAACATAATCCACCATTGATAACAGTTGGTAATAAACACAACACCCGATCGATGTCGTCTGGTAAATATGAGGTACCAAGGGTTAATAATGTTTATGGTGATCGAACAATGAAAAAGCGTATCCCGTACTTACTCAACCATTTGCCAAACGAAATCAGGGAAGAGAAAAATAAAAATAAATTTAAGACTAAATTAAAAAAATATCTGTTTAGCACACTACCATAACCACATGTATTTAAAATTAATCATAACCATAACCATTATCATAGTAAACTACAATTACCTACTAAATAGTAATTTAAATATAGAAGATCCAACAGTCAAACTATTTACATATAGTTTTGTTGGACATGGCGTTAGATTATAAGGCATACCATGTACCTTTATTATTAATAAATAAATAAATAAATAA